CCGCAGACAACCATGCGGTACGGGAGGCAGCCTGTGCTTGCATTGCTGAGTTAGGCTCCAAGGTTTGTGACAAATCATGCCTAAATGTACAATTCATATTAGTATCTCTGGAAACTTTTTTCTTAAAGACTTTGCACCCAGTCAGTCAGTTCTGAGCTAGGAAAATGAGCCGATAGAGAATATAAAAAAAAATTGAAGGTTTCATACCCACAATCTATATACAGCTTCTGGGACCTAACTTTCTGTGTCTGACCTTTTGTGGTCTGTGTGACTGTAATTCCCCCCAGCCACGTGAGGTGACTCAACTGTATGAACACACAAGCAAACATGCACACAGACAAACACATCCACATTTTCATATAGGTGAAAACACACACTCAGTTATGATAAGATGCTACCGGTATATAAAGATCATCTTAAGTTTCATCTACCTCAGTCATACTTTGTAGATGACGGTTTTGAGTGCCCCTGTTGTCTTTACAGATCAACAGTGATGTTGTGCGTCCACACGTGCCAACACTGATCGAAGCCCTGCTAGAGTCCTTCAAAGATGACAGCTGGCCTGTCAGGGATGGTCAGTCATTCTTTATCGAATCACAATGAATTAATTTAGACATTTTTACAGCTCGAGTGTTTCCTCCAGTCAATATAGGATCTTCTTAATCTGTCCTTTCTCTTTTAATCATACATGTGTATGTCTTCCTCCTTCCAGCTGCATGCATAGCTTGTGGGAACTTCATTCAGTGCTTTCCTGAGGAGTGCAGGTAAAAACATGTCTGAATTTTTGCCTTGCACATCTACATTTGTACATTATAGCCTGTGTACAGTTTAAATTTTCTACATTTTGATCTGTGTATGGTGATCATTGATGACAAAAACATCTCCCAAGCTAAAAATCCAAAACTTACAGTGATACTGTTACTGTGTTTCATCATTGATATTTAGCTAATATGGTAGTCTCAGGGTACCTAGCACAGTTGTATGACTTGACATTACACTTGTTGTACCACAGTTGTTACCTCCATGAAGGAGGTATTGCTTTAGCAGTGTATGTGCACAATAATGTTTTCGACTTACTTTTTAAAGGCAGATTGTCATTTCATTTGGTATGTAGCAACATTTAGGTCATTCTTACTGGCTTTACTCTGTTCTGCTCTGGACATGCTATGGTCTTCATTTTTGTCATTGCAGACCCCAGATGGACAGTTTGTACCCATTGTTTTTTGCCAACCTACAAGACAACATCCCATCAGTGAGACAGGGAGCGGCAGTAGCACTAGCCAATGTAGCCAGGGCCTATGGTGAGTTCAGGCTTTTGTACTGCATATATCCTGGCAATGTTGCCAGGGCCTATCATCTATGGTTAGTCCACACTTTATGGCCAGAAACCAGTGCTGCATACTGGTACCAACTCAATACTACAAAAATCATTCAGTTATAGGTCCAAAATACTGGAACATGTACCAGTACTGTACATGTAGTAATGTACGATAATTCTATACATGGGCAATTCTGCACTTTTGACAATCTAAGTTTGATTTATACATCAAAACACAGCCATTAATTTATGTCTATCTTAAACATTAGGGGCTGAGTCCTTACAGTTCCTCCTCCAGAAGGTGCAGGAAGGTTTAGAGGGCATTGAGAAACAGCCGGCATCGACAGAGAAATACTCTGGTCTGGACAAGGGGCCGGCCACCTATGGAGTTGTCAAGAAACTTCGAGACAATGATATGGACTTGCACACCAACCAGACCGTGAGTTCTTTTGTAGTAGAAGTACAATGTATCTGTTTCTGTCTTACAACATAACTGTCCCATGTTGAGGCCACATCTATCTAATTTCTTGTATCTTGGAATTTCCCACTTCATACATGTATATTTCTAACTTGCATACTAGTAGGTGAGTCCATCTCTTCCTCCCAGCTTGCCAGCCATAGCTTCCTTCCAACTTGACCTTAAGGTCAATCTACAGTAACCAAATCCTTCCTTTCCTTCCACTCTCATCATGTCACTGTACTGCTTTAAAATAACACACAAAGACAATACCTTTGCACCTGGAGGTAAAATAAAAAAAATAGCAGGTGCCTGATCTAAAAGTTACCATGATAGTGAACTGCTTAATTTTTTGGTGCATGTTGACCAACTTGTTTCCTCCATGTACATCTATGTTTTTAACCTTGGCCCTGCGGCCTACCCCATAACCAATACAAATTTGGTGCCAAACTATTACCTAAGCAGGCTGAAGGTTAACACACCTTTTCCCACAGATGTACTCGTGTGGGTCGCTTGCCCCCAAGATGGGTCGGGGGAGGAGTGGAGGCTGCATGGACCACCAGTTCAGGAAACCTGTAGAACCATGGGAGCTCACAGAGGGGTAAGATATTAGCACTTCTCAGGGCACGAAAAAACCACCTGCAAAATTATAAACTGTAAAATTGGAGCTGTACAAGTACCGGTATTTCTCATGCATACCTGGTACAAAACAATCCAAATTAGCATCCTTTGTATAGGCCTACTGCAGTAAGATGTATGTCTTGCTTGACTCTGTTCCATACATGTACTTCACCATTTAAGATCTGTGTGCGAAGCATTTCCAAATGATATGATTAATGCTGGCTTTATTCACACAAAACTTACACATGTACATTGTACTCCCCTCAGCTGTGTGCACCTGCTGGCTGAATTATCCCAGATCCCGGCAGCTGTAAAGCAGGTGGCAGAGCTGCTGCCCCTGGTGGCCCAGGCAGCTGCAAAACACCACTACCCACAGCACCAGGTGCTGCTGGAGACTGTCTGCAAACAGGTACGGCAACATCCTTGAATGATTTCATCATGTTGATCAATGACTGTAACAAAGCTCTTTATTCACAGCCAAGGATTTTACATGATGATATTCCAACCAAAAGTTGGGAGGTGTAGGACCTGTACAATGTACATATCAGCGTTTGGAAAGCATTACTTCTGTCAATGCTTAATGTTCATCAGGTTAGTAAATTACCATGCAGCAATTCTTTATTCATGACCAAGGATTTTTTACAAGCACGTGTCAAAT